AGGGAAGAGTCAACGAAAACACCTGAATCTAGAGAAAAATATGTTGATGGACTAACTACGTCAGTGGACTGGACATCCAGTTTTTGTCAGTCTTTTGTGTATTACTGCTGTGTGATTCTGGGCAAATCACAATTCACACACAAGTCAAAGAGTGATGTCATTTGTCTCTTCGAAAATAAAAGATGAACAACATGTGCATTATTGATTGATAAATGTAAAACAGATAAAGGTAAAGACATTGGTTATCAACATTTATTAGAGATCATCTATGGAGGCTTCAAGGAAAGACATGGATTCACATCATAAACAAATTAGAGAATCAGAAAAAGTGATACCTTTCACAATTAAGGATAGGTAAAGAGTTTGTGATCAAACAAGCAACAGAGAGGATCACAGGAGATAAAATGGATAATTTTAATATAAAGTTGAAAAATTTGCAAAAACAAAATCAATGCAGCTAAAATCAGAAGAAAAACATTTAACTGGGGAAAAGTCTTTGCAGCAAGTTTCTTTTAACAGAGTTCTAATGTCCACTGATTAAAATATATAAGTACCATTTCTCATTAGATGAATGAACAAAAGATATGAAAGCAGTTCTCAAGGTAAGAAATCAAAGCTAGCAATAATCATATAAAAATGTTCCAAATCACTAATAAGAGAAAAGTATGCCCATGAGATTAGTAAAGATTAAAAAAAGGAAAACAATAATTAGTGAAGGGGATATGGGAAGAGAGGCATGCTACTACATTGCTGGTGAAGCTGTGAATTGAGCCAGCCATTCTGGAAAGCAATTTGGAACTATACTCAAAAAGGCATTAAGTTGTATGGTTCCTTGACCCAGTGATATAACCACTAAGAATACAGACCAAAAAGATCAAAGAAAGAGGGAAATAACTTGTATGTACCAAAAATGTTCAAGGCATCACTTTTTCTTGTAGTAAACCATTGGAGTGTCCATCAATTGGGTAATAGCTCAATAAATTGTATTATATGACTGTAACAGAATATGATTGTACTGTAAGAAATGACTTGTATGAACTGATGCAGAGTAAAGCGTGCAGAATTTGAAGAACAATTTATATAGTGACTGCATTATTATATATCACTGCAAAGAAAAGCAACTTTGAAAAACTCAAAAATACTGATCAATGCAATGACCAACCAGGATTCCAAAGGCCCAATGATGAAACCTGTTACCCACCATCTACTGAATGAGAGGAGATGGACCAGAGGTGCAGAATGAGACATCCATTTTGGATATGGCCAGTGTGGAGATTCTGATTGATTTGTTAATACGCTACAAAGAATCTTGGAGGTTTTTTTTTTGTTTTGTTTTTAGGAGGAGGCAATTGGGGGACAACAAATGAAAGAAAGAAACTGTCTTTAAAGCATTTATAAAATGCACAGAAGGGAATATAAGGAAGTTCTGAGAGAGATCCATGTAAGTAGGACAGCTTTGAAACTAAAATGTTGAGTTTATTATATATTTTTAAAACCAACATGTAATAAATTTATGGTTTAAAATATAAGATTCTGTTTTTCTTAGTATATGAAAATATTCATGTTTGTGTTTGCCACATTTAGAATAACAAAAGAATTAAAACTTTTTAATAAAGATATAGATAAAAATTAGACAGCTTAAGAATGCATGGATAGGTTAAGATTAGTGGATAGTTGTACTCACACCAACGAGGTCACAGATCCAGTAAAGTATCAAGTGGATTTGTATTATTATGTTAAAATTAAGTTGTGTTAGTTGCCAAATTCAGTAAGTATTTCCTAATTTAAAGTGAAAGTTATTTGAAAACTAGTAGGATAAACAATTGAAAAAAGTTAAAAATACTAGGATTTCTTGTTAGTTGTAATATTGTTTTAATCTTTGGCAAATCAACGGTGACTATATATGGATAAAATGATTGTGGCAAGTAGGGAATTAAATTTAACACTGTATTTTTCAAATGTTTTCTTAAATAGTTGAGAAAGTCGGTTGTGGTAACAACTGAAAAATACTTTTAAAAATTAGAAATGTAATTTGCAAAGTAACATTTTAATTTAAAAATACTTGCCCCAGCAACAGACTTTACTTTTATTATCTTGTGAAAGGTTTTATATTTTCTTGAATCTGTAATCTACTCTGTAAATTTTTAAAGCTTATGATTTCTGTCCTTTATTTTTTATAAAGTGCTGTAATTTGGGCTAAGAGGCTATCAACCTTTTTTTGAGATGGGGAAGAATATTGAGAGTTTTACCTAAGTTTTTTGATAGCTAATAATAACTCAGCCCAAGTTATATTTTATTTATCATTTTTTCATTGGTTCATACTTTCTTCATGTAAATTTTAACAACATAATAAATACAGGGATGAAAGGGAAGAAGGAAGGAAGCTAGTTTATGTGCCAGGCACTGTGCTAAGTGCTTTAAAAATATTATTTCATTTAATCCTCATAACAGCCCTGGGAGGTAGGCACTATTATTATCAATTCCATTTAACAGTTGAGGAAAATGACTCAGAGATTAAATGAATCATTCAGGGTCACACAGCTAGCAAGCATTTGAGGTCATATTTGAACTTGGGTCTTCCTGATTACAGGCCACTTTATCCACTGTGCCACTTAGCCGCCTATATGCCAGGACATATAATTAATACTATAATCTGGGCCAAATCCTAAGGGGAGAAAAAGAACTACCGTAATATTTCACACCGGTGGAGTGGAAAAGTTTTCAGCATTTCAGGAAAACCAAGTGAGTACTGTATAAGCTGCTAGGATGGTGGTGGTAGGTGAGGTAGGATTTTAACCCTCTTTTTGAGTTTAAAAGCCATCCCTAAACAGAGATGACTGTATAATAAGAAACTTAATTACTTTAAACATATTTTAACCACCTACCTAGAAATGGCTTTGCACAGCTGGACTGAGGCACTCAATAGTGTAAGTTGTGGGAAGGAAATATGGTAGTAAGGAAATTAAAAAACCTCAAGGAGTTAGGAGAGAGGGTTCAGGAACTGAAGGCTAGGGTTAGCATCTGGTAAGTCTAAACCCAAATCTCAAAGTGGGCATAAAGATTTGATTTATGGTTCACAACTTGGACCTAAACCTTTCCAAGGCATCAGTCTGGGACCTTGACTGGAGTAATGTTGCAAATAAAACTTAACAACTTTAGATTAATGGAATAAGTGCTTACCATAATGCTTGCCCTTCTACATTTTTACCTCCCCATTTGGGATAGCTGAATGTAAGAAAATAAAGGAGAGATATAACAACTTTGCAAAACAAAAGTCCCCAAATACATACTCAAATTACACACCCTTTGTCCTATTACCAGTCACACCCTGCCAAATGCCAGTCTTGGAATTCTCTCACTTGACTACTTTAATCCCATTCAAATGTTGCTGAATGAAGCCAGAGAAACTTATAAAACCTTGCTGACTGGCTTACTACAAATTCAGGTTACATAATACCTTCAATGAAGCAAGGCAATCCTTTTACATCTAATTGACTGACTATCCCACTCACCATAGACACTTTTCCAAACATTTTCATTCAAGAATCCCATAGAACACTGCCCCTCCTCCCTGCACCTCTACCATCTTAACTGAGCACCTTGCTTCACCTTTCACCAAAAACACTGATATCATTTGCTAAGGGCTCTCTCTTCTCCCCTCTTCCTTTCACATCACCCTGATATCTTCTCTGTCTCCTCCTTCACCCCATCTCATATGAGGAGGTGACCCTTCTTCTTTGCCAGTTAATCCCTTTACTTGTACTTTTGATCCCATCTACTCCAGCAAACTGGAAGGTGAATGGAAGTAATAAGAAGGGGTTGGAGGTAGATAGAATAGACTAGATATGTGGGGCAAATGTATGGAACAGCTGAAGAGGGTTCTCAGGTTGCAGCATTGGGTGACTGAAAGGATGGTGGTGTCCCTGCCCTGTAATAGGGAAAGTTCAAGCAAACAGGGAAAGCTGCCTGCAATTTGGGAATTTCTAGCAAAAAACTTGAAATGAAATGGAAGCCTACCATGTTAGGAATGGCTGATGAAAATGCAGTGCATATGAATGTAATGGAATAATAGTTCAGCATAAGAAATAACAAATTAGTACTTCAGAAAAACCTGCATGAATTGTTGAATGGGCTGTCAATTGTGATTTAGGTCAGTTTTACTTTTTTTTTCTTTCCCGATGGAGCCTCACATCACAAGTACTTTGTTTTTCACGACTCAAATCTGGTTCCTAGGTATTATCTGGCATTATTGTTAACCATTTGTCTTATGCCCTTAGGAACTATGCATTATCCAAAATAAGCATCTAATAAAGTATGTTAAGTGAAACAGAATTACTTAAATGTGACAATTACCAAGTAAGTTTATTTTTAAAACTGAAAAAACTGAAATATTATAAACCAACTATTTATTAAATAGTAACTATCCTACAGATAGAAACATGCAACTGTTTATATTATAAAAATTAAAATTCTGATTATTTCTGCAAGGGAGTAGAGTCATCCTCAAATCCTCCCTCTCTCTCATTCCAACAGCCAATCTGTTGTCAAGTCTTGTCATTTCTACTTTTATAACACCTCCTGTACACAGATACGTGCGTGCGCGCGCGCACACACACACACACACATACACACATACACTGCAAGGGAATTTTGAGATTCACTTTATGTACTAATCATGTTAATTCCTTTTAACACTTCCCTCTGGACCAATGTCCTCTGCAATATTTATCTGTATCCCTCAAAACTTATTTTTATAAGTCTAAAATTATTCATTATCTTCTGACATATACATGCTATCAAATTATAAACTGTAATTCATTTGATTACATATTCTACACATCTTTTTGTCTTACCTTCTTTAAGAAACAAATGAGTTTAATCAATCTTTAATATTTAAATAAACAACTTCAACATAAGTCAAGTTATAAAAATACTCAAATCTCAAAGGGGTTATATTTAAAACTTTTATTTGAAAATTTTATATATAAAAACCAATTCATATTACAAAATTCTTCCATAGGCTGTTGACACATAGCTTTCACATAATTAAGATTTTGTTAAGTTTTACCACTTCTATATTCCTTATAATAATTGGCAACAACAAAATTGTACCCCTCAAAATCCATTTACTTCTGCTTCAATAACAATTGCAGGAGGAAAAAAATCTATGAAATAACTCTCTCCTCAAAACTTTTAAGCACACATGTACCAGGAATTCATTCACAGCTTACAAACATAAATCAAATAAAGCCCTACAATAACAGCAGCCAAGAAAATGACATTTAAAAGCTTTCCTTTGTGTAGACCCCTCTATTACTTGGTTCTCATTCTCTAGTTACATACATTTGTAGTGTATATACCTATGTCAAGGTATATATGTATTTATAAGTGTGTGTGTGTTTGTGTGTGTGTATACACACATTTCAGACAAAAAAGTATTTATGAAGTGCTCATTATGTGTCAGTTACTAAGTGCTGGGGATGCAAAAAGAGGCAAAAACATCCCATTCTTAAGAAGCTAAGTCCTGATGGGAGAGACAACATGCAAACAACTACATACATACAAGATATACATATACATACATACATATGTATGTATGTGTGTGTATGTATAAATACGGTAAATTGGAGACAATCTCAGAGGGAAAGTGCTTGCATTAAGGGGCCCAAGAAAGACTTCTTAGAGAAGGTGGGATTTTGGTTGAGATCTGAATGAAACCAGGGAAGCCAGTAGGTAGTGGTGAGGAGGGAGACAATTCTAGGCATGGGGAGAGCCAGGGGAGGCCCCAAGTCAGCAAAGAGCCTTTCCTACATGAAGAGGAGTAAAGAATAAGAAGAATGGAAATGTAAGTAGAGTTTAGGTTATGACAGTCTTTAAAAGCCAAAAATAAGATTTTATAAATTTTAGGAGCCCTCAGAATTTACTAGGGGAGGGGCAGTTTGGAGCATACAACATTGTCAGAACTGTGCCTTATCAAAGATCATTTTGGTAGCTGAGAGGAGGGTGAACTAACTGGGGAGAAAATTGAGGCACAAGGCTACGAGCATTAGGATAATAGGGGCCAAGGATTCTAGACATTTATGAATACTGTATAGAGAAACATAGAGACTGAATTGGGAAGAAAAGCAGACACTTGAAAAGAACAGTGCTAAAAAGAAAAAGACGAAAAACCAATATTGAGATTTCATAGCATTGGCCACAATACAAAGAGGGAACAGCAGATCAATCCATCAAACTATCACAGGAGAAATAGAAAAACCAAGTATTGGTTTGCAGGTATGTTATACCACCTAATCTGCTTATTACATAATTTAGAAACACTCTTCAGACAAACTAAGACTTTAACTTGCAAGGTTAACCAGAGGAAACACGGTTCTACATGCCAGGGGAAAAAATGTATTAATTGCAGTAAATAAGTCAAATAGCTAATTATATTAACCTCAGTATTTACTTTTGATTGTACACTTCTGCTAATATGCTCCCTAACAAGCATTTATTAACATTTAATTGTTAATGAAATTTAAAAGCTAGCCAGGACAGTTAGCCCAAACCACACAATTATCTTTTTAAAAAATCAATAATAATCTCATACAAAGTTTGTAAACTACAGAAGCTCTAAATGTGCAAAAACAGCCTATTTCAAAGAAACAGTGATAGGTACAATCTGCTATTTATTTAAATGGTCGATCAAAGTAAAAATTCATATAATAGCAATCATTTTTTTTACTCACATACCATATTTGTTCACATAGTGTTTGATTTCACATAATGATCACAGCCCTCTTCCAGTACAGGAAAGTAGGTAAAGATAATTTCCTTTCCTAAGTAGCACATGATTGCTTTGTTACAGTAAATTACCTGACTGCTATCACAGCTGCACAATCTGTACCACCAGAGATCACTGCTTGAACATTAGTGGCTGACTGACATCACTTTGGTAAACACTGACAACTAACAATAAATCTAGTGTTTTCATAACTGTTAGCACTTTCTTTTCTTTTTGATTTAAATTTCAAAGACTGTTGTAATTGTATTAAAAACCTTTTATTTCTCACTTTATTTTTGGATGAACAAAGGTAGAACAAATGAGAGAATCCTGGGATGGTGGAATTCCCAGATCTGCACACTGAGGCCAAGAAAATCAACATCTCTAGCCAGGGATTAAATAGCTGGGTACTATTGGGCACTCAGGGTCTCTCCTGGATTTATTTTAGATAGAAGAAACAGGAGATGATACATCAGTACTTATACAATTTTGATTAATTCATCTATCTTTCTTACACAAGGATTCTTGAGAATTGACAATTTAAAGTATCATACTACTGAAAGCCATGTAATTTCTAATTTTGTGACATCAAATTTAATTTAAAGCAGATTTCTTCTCAACATGAAACTCCAGGAAAGGATTTATCTGTTAGGATGATTATTACTTTCTGGAACTACATGAGCTTAAATTTTGTAGATATTAAGATGTCCAATTTGGGAAACATCACACTGGTTGGCAGCATCTTAAAAAGAAAAGATAATAACACATTTAAACAATTTTTTAAACTCAAGAGGTATTAATTATGTACATCAACTTCTGACCTTATTGCTGCTGAGTTCTCCTTCCACTCTCAAATTCTATGATTCTGATTATAGCATTATGCCCAAACCTCTTTAGTGCACTATAAAAAAGAATAGTTAAAACTATATTTATAGGGCACTTATAGTTAGTCTTATAACTTACATTTTTAAATTTAGAGAGTAAGAGAGAACAATTATTTAAAATACTATTGTTAAATACACCTCCAGCTTCACCCATTCTGGGCAGGTACCTTGCTATCCCTTACTTCCTCTCCCTACCAACCCTAGTAGTTTTCAGACACAGAGCTTTCTGACACACCAGGACAATTCTACCTAAGGATAATGATAATGTATGGGAACTCATTCTTCATGATTAACATACTTCTAACCCATCATACTTCACCCCATTTTAGTGATTCTGAATAATCAGTTGCCACTGTTCAAACCTGACTATCCCCCACGAGCCCGACCTCCCTCTACCTTATTCCTATTCCCCTCGCTTTAAACCACATCCCCCAACATCCCAATATAAAACTACCCAACCTTTCTACTGTGTTCTCTGGAATACCTGCTCTATAGCTAAAAACACCTAGCTTCCCCCTTCATCCTTTTTTTTTTTAAACAAGCATTTATTAAAAACTTACTATAGGCCAGACCCTGTGCTAAGCACTTTCCAATATTATCTCATAACATTTACAAATTTTATCCCATTATCTCTCCTCATAACAACCTTGAGAGGTAGATATATTATTATCCACATTTTCTAGTCAAGGAAACTGAGGCCACAGAGGTTAAATTACTTGGCCTGGGCCATACAACTATTAAGTATCTAAGGCTGGATTTGACCTCAGAGGGTCTTTGTGATTCTGGGTCCAGAGCTCTATCCACTGTGCCACTTCTCTGAAGCCTATGACACTATTGATTCCTTTGTTATTAATATTCTTTCTAGGTTTTCATCATACATGTCTGACTGCTTCTTCTCTCTCACCTTTGCTGGATTTTCAATCACGTCATGTCTAACCTTGGAGGTCCCCCAAGGCTTTGTAGTGGACCCTCCTTTCTTCTGATGATTTACTGATTTCATCAGCCCCCAAGGTTTCAATTATCACTTCTATGTAGATGATTCTCAGATCTACCTTTCCAGACCTAACCTCTCTGCTGTTCTCGAATCTCCAACTGCTTACTGGACACCTTGAATTGAATGGCCCACACATATCTTAAACTCAACATGTACATCTTTTCCCCCAAAATTCTCCCTTCTTCCTAACTTCCCTAAACTATTGAGGGTGCCACCATCCTCCCACTCAACCAGAGTCACAATCTAGGTGTTATCCTTGACTCCTTATTGTCTCTAACCTCCTATATCAAATCAAGTGCAAAGGGTCCTACCTTCATAAAATGTCTTGTCTACATGACACCCTTGTCAGGATAAGCCACCTGATAGAACTCCCCATATGGACAGTGAAATAGAACTGACTAATAGCTACAGCTGTAGAAAACCATCAAAAACCACCCCCTCTAATCAGGTCGAGGATAAAACATGGATCTTATGGGTCTTGATTTGGAACCATCAATAACTAAATATCAACCCATTTCCCTTTGTTTCTACAAAAAGGGCAAGATGTCAAAAGCCCCATGAGAATACAGCTACTGTAACTATCACTTCTCAGCTAATTCCTTCCCTGAGCCAGCTTCCAATCCAAAACTCCCTCAACAAATACAGAGAGATTCAGGAAACATATTTAGTGCCACCATCGAAATAGCTCTCTTCAAAGTTACTAATGAGCTTAGTTGCCAAATCCAATAGCCTTTTCTCAATCCTCATTCTCCTTGACCTCTCTCTAGGCTTTCATACTTACTTTCTCTATCTCTCTCACCCTCCCCACTTTGATATTCTCTTCTTTCTAGGCTTTTGGTTCATCACTCTCTCCAGGTTCTCCTCCTACGTATCTAACCATTCCTTTATCTACTCTGCTGGATCCTTCCCTAGATCATGCCTTCTAATCACAGGCATCCCTCAGTGCTCTGCTTTGGGCCTTCTCTTTTCCTTCCCTCCCTCAACTACTTCACTTGGTGACTTCATCAGCTCCCATGGATTTAATTACCATCTCTATGCTGATGATTCTAAAATCCACCTTTCCTGCCCCAAACTCTCTGCTGACCTATAATCTCACATCTCCAACTGCCTTTCAAATTACTCAAACTGGACGCCTAGTAGACATCTTAAACTCCTTATGTCCAAGACAAAACTCATCATCTCGTCCCCTAAATCCTCTCTCCCCATCCTTTCCCTGTCACTGCAAAGGGCAACACCATGGTCCCAGACCCCCAGGCATGCAACCCAGGAGTCATTCTGGATTCTTGTGTCTCTCTTCGCCCCGCCCCCCATATCCAATCTGTTACCAAGGCCTGTCAATTTCACCTTTGCCACATCTCTCCTCTTCTTTCTAGTGACAATGCCACCAGTCTAATGCAGATCCTTATCACCTCATGTCTGGATTACTGCAATAGACTTAGATGGAAGGACCTGTGATGAAAGATGCTATCCATCTCCAGAGAAAGAACTGATAAATAGAAGTATGCACAGTATGGTTGTACATGCGTGCATACATATATATGTATAACTGCATTATATGTGTATACATATATAAATATATATGTGTGTATATCAAATAGTGGCCTTCTCTAGCAAGGGGTGAGGAGGGAGACAGCTCAGGACTTAAAATGTAGCAAAAAATAAAATTAAATTAAATTTAAAAAATTTTTTAAAAATAGCTTGCTGGTGGATCTGCCTGCCTCAAATTTCTCCTCACTTCAAGCCATTCTCATTAAACCACTAAAGTTATTTTTGTAAAGTACAGATCCAATTTTCCCAACTCCAGTGGCTCCCTATTGCCTCTAGAAAAAATATAAAATGCTCTGTTAGGCATTTAAAGCCCTTCATAAACTACCCCACTCCCATCTATCCAGTCTTCTTATCTCTTTCTCCCCAACATGTATTCTTCGATTCAGTCACACTGGTCTCCTGGCTGGTCCACAAACAAGACACTCTATCTCTTGGCTCCAGGTATTTTCTCTGGCTGATCTCCATGCTGGAACATTCCCCTCCTCTACTCCCACTACTGATCTCCCTTGCCTTCTTAACTAAACCCCATCTTCTACAAGATGCCCTCCCCAATTCTCTTAATTCCAGTCTCTTCCTTCTATCAATTATCTATTTATCCTATATATAGCTTGCTTCGGATATATTTGCTGCATGTTGTTTCTCCCATGATGGTAAGCTCCTTGAGGTTAGGCACTACAAACTTTTGCCTCTTTTTGTTTCTCCAGTGCTTTAGCACAGTGCCTAGCACGTGGTAGGCTATTAATAAAAGTTAACTGATTGAGGCTACTCCATTACAAACCCCATTAATTTGTGCAACTAACTTGGTGCCAGAAATCCCACTCTTCAATGGAAATGCAATATGCACCCTTTTTTAACTCAAATACTAATCTATGGGAAGGGCATGTATTGGGTCATAAATATTCTTTGGAATGTGAAGTATTCTTTGATATGAGAGAGACAGAGAAGTAAGTTCTCACTCAATTAAAATTTTGCTTCTAAATGCCATCTCACTAATCTCTGACTCCTTAGAACTAGCAATGCCACACAGGGTCATTCATAATATTTTATGTAAATCAATAAACATGCATTTACTAAATAACTACTATGCACTAGACATTAAGCACTAGGGACACAAAAACAAAAATAAGACACCGTATAAAATCATTGCAGAGTTATACTGTAATGACTGATTAAGGCCCAAAGTTGTGAAATTAGCCCCAAGTTACCCAAAGTTTAAAGAGTTCACCTTTAACACCAAGTAAAACCCCATTTAAGCTTGGAGAAAGAGAACCTGTCTTATAATTGTGGTTTTGCCCCATTTACTATCTTTGTAACTGGCCAAGTTACTTTTCTTTGCTGGACCTTTGTCTCCTCATTTTAAGGATTAGGACTAGATGATGTCTGAGGTTCCTTCCACATGTAAACTTACGATCCTATACTCCATGCCAATAGACTATTACATATACAAGCCCATAATCAATCAATAGGCCACAAAAAAAGCCTAAAGCACAGATCGAACAGCAGGGAACAGAAAAAAGCACTTTGTCACTCTTCCAATTAACTAGAAAGAGTTGAAAGTGGAAATTAAAAAGCAAAGTTCAGAAATATCAACCTATTAGGGAGTAGAAAATAAGCAAAATAGACAATCAGCCCTAACTGCCTCTATTCACAGATGTGGTACCATACACTGGCTTTTACTCACACAGTATCAGAAAATAATCCTGCTTCCCCACCACCCACCCCCAAAATTGAACTGATATTAACTGATATTAAGTCTTTCACCAGTGTGTCGAGGTAAGAAATCCTTAGCCATATGTGAATAAGAAGAAATTACGAGATAAAATAGATAAATTTAGTTTTATTCAAATGGATGTGTTCTCATTGATCTGGAAGTTTCCTTTAAAATGCATACTGCAACCCATTCATGACCTATCATCTTGTCCATATTCTCAAAAAGTTTTCCAGAAAAAAAAAATTCTTTAAAAATCTGCTCAACACAAAACAAAACATCCAGAACAAGAAGGGATGAAAACCTGGAGGGAAAAATCTTTGAAATATATATGTATATATACATATATATATTTGCTTAACATCCAAAAATGTATAAGGAATTCACACAGAAGTATAAGAATGAGTCATTCTCTAATAGGTAAATGGGCAAATGTTAAGAATATTTCTCAAAAGAAGAAACAGAAATTATAATTATTCATATAAAAATATTTACCTCTAATGATGAAAAAAATGCCTGCTGCTGCTAATTACTACTACTATCACCACCACCGATAATGTTAGCTAGCTATATGGTTTGCAAAATACTTTACATACCTCACACCTTTT